GTGTATTTGGTTGCAATTCCTTGTGATCACCATGGTTCACGGCGTCGTGTGTCTTCCTTTCCGAGTTGTCCACAATGAGAGTTCTCAAGAGGTCTTCACATTGCCTCTTTTGGGTATGTTGACAACAAAAGCGTGTGGATTGGGTTTGCTTCTTATCTCACATTGCGTTTATGGTAGGTTGAACATGTTGGATGATGGTACCTCTGGCAGCAACAAGATACGGATCTCAAAGCAAGAATGCTGTATGGTTGGCTCAATGGTATGCATGGTATTGGATCTACAAAGCGAAACCTGTGAATTAACGAACCTTACAGTGAAACAGCAGCAAGACAACATGGATGGCATGGAGATACGGGTTTATTTGATGCATTGATGCTATTGAGAAATACCACAAGGTAAGAGTGTTCATTGTGGGATTGGTTGGATTCAAGTGGACTTACCAAACGCCATACAGTGGCAGAGCCTCTTTCGGCGATACTATTATTATCAAGGCTGCACGTCAAGGACGTCATTGTACTACACTTTCCTGTGGAGCTCTACATGTTGTGCCCGGGGACAGTGCGACTCATGTTGCGGCCTCAGGGATTTAAAAATGCATCCTCTGTTCGCACGGCTCCATCGTTTTACGGCTATTGATCTCCTTGCCTTTAGAGAGAAGATGGTATCTCTATTGATGCACTTCATCGCGTCGATCCACAGGAGAGTACCGGTACTATGACGTTTCTTTGGCTGTGCGCTTTTATTATTACTTTACATCCTGATGGCCTATTTGGTTCCCAAGTCTGCGGGTGATGATTGCGTGATTCAGGTATGTACGACACTCATGCTTTTTGGAGACCTTTTCTGAAACGCCTACCATTATTTAGAGGGACCATAGCAGAGAGCTGCTTGTCTTTTGGTGCTTTGGAGTTTACAAGATCACAGCTATGAATTGCTAAGTATTGTTGGATGAGTTGGGACAATCGTTTATGGTGCATCTTTTATAGGTGAATCATGTCAGTCATGGGGAAGCGTTTATATCTTTCGGTGGTGTCAACCTTTATTGCGTCTCGGGTGGTTGGTTACCAAGCAACGGGCGATTTCTCTGAAGAGTGTCCGCCAATGCAAGTCTCTTGTGAGTGGATTGTATCAGCAACAAACAACAGCATGCATATCTTTGGTGCCATATCAACCCTCATCCCATCATCCATCTGGTGCTTCTCATTACCTACAATTTGGTGAACCTCCTGAAACAAAGGTCCTTTATCGATCGATCATGTCAGGAACAAGGAGCAGGTTTATACCTTTGGCGTCAGCAAGCTTTCGATCATCTCGTGGTTCTGATTATCGGCAATTCCTTTGATGGATCTCTACAACTATACGCATCTTATGGATGGATAATGTCATCAACAAGCAATGAGAGTCCGCGTTGACATCTTTGGTGTTACCAAGGTCATTTATGCATCTCCTCAAGGCATTCATCGTCAAGCTGCATTCGATTTCCAATGAAAAACGATTGCCATTCACATCGCTCTTTAGCCATATGTACGTCACTCCGCAGCTAGGATCTAGTTTGGGCTTTTCGATGCACAATGCTTTCTCGATTTGCATGTGGTCTTGGGCAGCAAGGATTGTCTCGTTGTCTCTCTTTGTAAGGGCTCTTCGGCCTCATGTAAGTATGCTCTCTTTGGTGGTATCAATATTACTCAATCTTCTCACTGCATATGCCCATAAAGTATCGTTCCATCGCTTTCAAGCCGAGTGCCACCGTAGCGGGTCTTATCAACAAGCGGACGATTGCAAAGAATCGGCTTGATTTGGATATCAGCAGGATTTCGTGCATATGGCTATCATTGGTAAATAGAGGATGATCCGTTTTTTGGCTCCAATCCCAACCAACATCCTCTTTTATTATAGTGTGCGGACTATTCAGCAAGCTATTTGTCTTCTGGTTCTTTGGGATTTTCATGATGAAGCTGTCATTGAATGTCGACATGTTTTCGTGCGTATGGCTATCATTGGTAAATAATGGATGACCCGTGTTTTGGCTCCAATCCCAATCAACCACCTCTTCTATTATTATAGTATGTGCGATATTCACCAAGCTGCATGTCTTCTGGTGCATTGGGATTGCCATGGATGCAGCTGTCATTGGATGCCAACATGTTGACGTGCATATGGCTATCATTGGTAAATAGTGATCCGTTCTCTTCTTCAACGCCTGCTAACCCCCTCTTTTATTATAGTATGCAGACTATTCAGCAAGCTACTTGTCTTCTGGTGCATTGGGATTTCTATGGATGCAGCTGTCATTGGTAAATAATGATCAATTCTTTCTTTCAATGCTTACTAACACCCTCTTTCATGTGGGTTATTCAGCGAGCTACTTGTCTTGTTCCCTTTGGATTCTTGATGGATGCAGCTATCATTGGATGTCGACAGGGGTTTATTCATATGGCTTTCATTGGTAAATAGTGGGTCACCCGTTTTTTTGGCTCCAATCCCAACCAACCCCCTCTTTTATTATAGCATGTGTGCTATTCAGCAAACTACTTGTATTTTGGTCCTTTGGAATTTTCATGGATGAAGCTGTCATTGGTAAGTATCGTTCTATGGATTCGGGAAACTGTTTACCGTGCATCTTTTAAAGGTGAATCATGTCAGGGTCAAAGAGCAACGTCGACAGCATCCTTCAGTGTCAGCTTGCCTTATTACATCGCTCGATGGTTTTCATTACTGTACCACCTATTGGACACTTCCTTTTATTTGCATCTGCAGCGGCAAGGCAACAAGTTCTATACCTTTTGGTGATGTGGTCCTAGTTGTTGACAACCCTTTCAATGGATATCCTGCTACGCATGCCTGTTATCGGTGGATCATATCAGCTACAAGCAAGAAGCAGCAATGAGCAACAGAGCCCACATCTTTAGTGTCAACAACATTTACTTGATCCTCTGGTGTTCTCGTTATTGGCCAATCGATTTCACAAGCCCTCTTCACCGCACGTATCTTATGGATGTATCAGATCAGCAACAAACAACAATGTTACGTCTTCTTTTGGTGCTGTCAAGGTGTATCCATCTCTCATGGCATTCATCATCAAGTATCGCTTGGAGAAACGGCTATCAGAATTGGTCACTGTGTCGACATCTCTACAGCAAGGAAATGTGTTCTGATTACTGGGTGGCATCAAGTATCGTGGATTCTCATACGACACTGGCTAAGTATTGTTACCATTACCTCAAAGATACATTAGTGATATGCAGTTTTATAGGCCCATCATTCCATCAAGCTATAATTTTGCATGCTCTTTGGTGCCATCAAAGTCTCTCCTTGCAGTTGTCAATGGCGAACCCTATTGAATTGGAAGACGAAGATCAACATTTGAATTTGGGTGGGTGTCTCAGAAGCAAGCAAGCGATCTCTATCTTATAGTTGTGGTTGTCAAGGATACCGTTTCCATAGTTTTGGAAATCAGCTACCTGCAAGCCGTCTCTTTATCGGTGGATCTTCAGAGCAATGTTTTTATCGGTGCCATGGCGGACCTCATTCCTCAAGTACTTGTATGGATACCTTGGACGTTCTCTTGGCT